GAGCATTTTTTCATATGTTTGTTGGCCTCATATATGTCTTCTTTTGTAAAGTATCTGCTCATATCCTTCACCCACTTTTGAATGGGCTGTTTTTTTCTTGTAAATCTGTTTTAGTCCTTTGTAGATTCTTGATTATAGCCCTTTGTCAGAAGGGTAGATTGCAAGAATTTTTTCCCATTCTGTTGGTTGCCGATTTACTCTAATGATCGTTTCTTTTGCTGTGCAGAAGCTGTGGAGTTTGATTAGGTCACATTTGTCTATTTTGGCTTTTGTTGCCAATGCTTTTGGTGTTTTGGTCATGAAGTCCTTGCCTATGCCTATGTCCCGAATGGTTTTGCCTAGATTTTCTTCTAGGGTTTTTATGGTGAAATATTTTGATTTTTTTTTTAAAGAAATTCATCTTGTTTTACCCTTCAAGGGAAAGTAAAGGCTCTAATCAATTTGGATTAAATATATAAACAATGTTGGAAGAGTTAAAGATGAAGGACATGCAATGGCAACAGTTTCAGAGGACCTTCAAGTCCTGAAGTTTAAAATTCCATAAGCGGACAAAGGAAAATTAAAATCTACTTTTTGAAGTTTTCCTGAAGGGTTCTATTTTTCTCTGATGAATTTTGACCTTCTATTAAGTAAGAAAATGATTTCACTTTTTCTCCTATACTAGATAATTCTATGTTTCTATCATGTGTTAATACATTTTCAATGGCTGTAATCTACCATAAAAGTGCTAAAATACAAATAAGTTGATAATATTATTTAATATTAAGTAAGTTGAGATTTCCTTCAGACATCCAAAATAAACTATGTATACCAACTATGGTTTGCTGATAGAATGAGTGTTGTTTTTTATCCCTAAATAAGAGAGTTAGAAATGATTTTCACTGGTATTACAATCCTTTAAAATACTAATGTCCTTTAACATCTGGTTCATAACTGCTAAGAGTTACACAATAGAGCAAAAAATGATAGGTTAATTAATTCATGAATTATTACCCCATGTAACCCTGGAAAGAGCTAATACAGCTTAACATAGACATATGAGTGGTTGAGGGAAATGGGAAAGCAAAACTGAGAACAGAAAAAGCAAGCTGGAGGCAAAAGCAACAAAAATGAACCACATTCATGCCAGGAGGACCCATCCATTTGCATGAAGTGAGTCAAAAATTAAGCTATATTTCCTAGTACATTGAGTAAGGCACAGCTGAATTTAATGATCTCATGCATTTCTTACCCAATCAGGTAGAAAAACTCACCTGATTCCCAAGAGAAACAAAATGAGATTAAAGAGTACTATTTCCTATGAGTCTCAAAAAGAGGACATTGCATTACATAACAACTTTTTAGTAAATAAAACAGTAGATTATATTGTTTCTTATAATGGAAAAACAAAACTTAATAGGAAGCCAATATTGTAGCTGTACTCATCTTGCTCTTATTGCTCTAGAGGAAATAACAAACTTTATATCTTCCAGGCAATGTTCAATAAATGTAATTTCTCTTAGCTGACATGTTAATAACAAGTTTGCAGCAGTAGGTTTAAGAGGAAAACAAAACGCAGCTATTTTGTAGAGTTAAACTGTAGAACCACTTGTGGTAACATTTAGGCAAGTTGGCAATAGAATTAATACACTTTCATGGAAGTTGAAGACCATGACAAAAGTCTCTGAAAGAGAGGGCCAGCCTATGTCCTCTGCATGGAGAAGGGCCAAGGAAAGACTCTTGGGCTGGTCTAAGACATTCCTCAAGAAGCGATTTTGGATTTGCCAAAGCAGACAAATGGGGCCTCAAAACCACAGGTTCTACTTAACATGACCCTCGTTACTTTAGTATGGAAAAACATATAATTGTATTAGTATATTTTATAAATTACATTATTTTATAAATTATATATACTATATATTTATAACATATATATTTTACCACTTAGTTTAGTTAGAAAATCTTAGTATTATATTCATACAGCCTTCCAGTTAGAGTGAAACAGCAGCTCCTAGAATAATGTTTCATTCAAGGTCATTTCTTTGTAATACTGAGAAAAAAATCAATTCTCAGCTGGGGTCACTGTCGGTATGGGGAGTTTGACATTCTCTCCATGTTTGTATGGGCTTTCTCTGGTTCTGCTTGTTTCCTCCCACATCCCAGAGATAGTCATGTTAGGCAAATCAGTGTGTCAACATGGTCCTAGTCTGAGTGAGTGTGGGTGTGAGAGTTTGTCTTGTGATGGGATGGTGTCCTGTCCATGGCTGATTAGCTGCTGGGATAGACTGTGGCCACCCCCGACCCTGGACTAGAATAAACAGGTAAATCATTATCAATCTTGTTTTTATTAATCTTTCTTAAATGTATGAATAGCTCACATGTATTTTAAAGTTTAATATTAGAAGTATTTTAGCCTGTATTTAGAAGTTTGGTAATGTTTTTGTGACCAGAAATATGCTACAGGAACTTAACCTATTCATTAGCTTATGGTAAAATTGGTTTTGTTACAGGTCATTTTAGTTAAAGTTGCAGTTTCCAAGAACCTATTGATAATATCAAGTGAGAACTTATAATCAGCTTTCTGGTCTTTCCTCCAAGACAATCTGTTTGCAACATAAATACCTAAATAATGGATTTAATTTGCTACAGAGGATTTGATATTGACCAGTTTATAATTTAGAGTGGGTGGCAAGAGGTTCTAGTAATTCTTTAAAATATTAACTAATATTAATATTAGTTAATAAGATGTGGCCAATTATTTTAATATTAAGACCATCCCCAATGTTTAAACATGTCATCTGCAGACAACAGAATGCTTCAAATTACTGGAAATGAATTAGTGATCATAGATTATATAATTGTCTCCTGGAAATAGCTACGAGTTAACCAAATGCCCACTTTTACTGGAATTAAGAGAGTAAAATAACTTGCCATCAAATTCAAGATTAAATTTAACTATATCTCATGTTTCTTCAGAGATTCAAAAGCCATACAAAGTCAACAAAATTCACAATTTTGCTGTTTGTTCAAATATCTCTACAAGAAGAGAAATTTAAAAAGTGGTCCATAGTGAACTAACTGTAGCTACCATTTCCTTAGGTAGAATATTGATATGAAAAGGCCAGGCTTCCAGTTTATGAAGAAAGAAACTTATGCCAATTTTCTAAATGGAACGCCTACCAATCTGAAAATTTGGAGAAGTAAATGGTTGGTCCCCAAAATGGGATAAACTATATTGTGCATCCAGATAGCAGGACTGCACCAATAAAGTTGGTGAGGGTTTTTGAAGAATTTTAATAAACCTAGTACTAAATATTCAGCAGCTGACTTATTTGAGATTTAAAAAATCATCTCTAGAACATGCTGAACTATTATTAAGACCTCTTCAGAAAACAATCTTGAAATCATACACAGTCGAACTTGCTTTGTAAAGATGAGAAAACAAGCTACTTGGGATGTTCATCTGGATGTAAATATTCACCTAAATTATCCATTTGTTTTTATTTAGGATCTGACAACATAAACTTATTTTACTGAGTTCAAGATAATGAATTTATGTTAAGATTTAAATTCAATAAGATCAAAGGGGCATCTTCTGATTTTAATTTCATATATGACATGCAATTTTCAGCAGGCATTTTCCCCTTTTCGTCCTACTTTGGGACAAAATATTTTAAGTCATAAATATGTTTGCATATCTATGAATGCTTATATGTCTATAATACAAAGGGAGAATAGATTATAAAAATTCCCAGTTTCTGAGTTCCTTCTTCTCATAAAGGAGATAGTCTTAGTGGTTTCACTCATTCTTTAAAGACAATAAAATAGAATAAAGGAATAAAATTTTCCAATAACTAGTCCTATGAAAATGTCAAAATTTCTGTAACTCAAATTAATCAAACTGAGTAGGGGGCAGTCAAAAATAAACGTGATCTGAGGAAAGCAAATTGTAAAACATTACGGAGAAAATTGAAAGCTATAAAGGAAAGTAGAAGAAAAGTACTTAGTAATGAAAAAAGTATAGAAAAATGCATAACATTTTTAGTTAGCTTGGGGAAGGAAAGATGAGGCTAAATAACATTGTCATTTATATCCTTACAATGATAACACATTTTTTATTCTCTAGGAATAAGCACTTGACTGTAAACTCCCAAAGGATTTGTAAGCTGAAAATGATTACAGTCAAGATAGAAAAAGGAAAAAATTTATTGACCATAAGAATTGTTTATCCTTAGTCTTACTTTCTTGGAGACTTTATTTTTAATAAAGACCCTTAGGCCAGGCATGGGGGCTCACATCTGTAATCCCAGGACTTTAGAAGGCTGGGGCAGGTGGATCACTTGAGGCCATGAGTTCAAGATCAGCCTGCCTAACATTGCAAAATCCTGTCTCTACTAAAAATGAAAAAAAATTAGCTGGATGTGGTGGTGTGCACCTGTAATCCCCGCTACTACAAAGTTGAGGAATGAGAATCACTTGAATCCAGGAGGTGGAGGTTGCAGTGAGCCAAGATCACGCCACTGTACTCCAGCCTGGGTGACATAGTGAGACTCAGTCTCATAAAAAAGAAAGAAAGAAAAAGGAAAAAAATCCTAGTAAACACAATTCTCCTGTGTTAGACATGATAGTGTGACACCGTGGGAAGGCAAGAGCAGCCGGGGAAGACGGGAAGGAACCAGTCATATGTGAGTACCTGTCTTTCTACAGTGTGTGCTGTTATGATCTATATAAGCCTTTTCATTAAATTCTCAGAATAAACATGGACTCCTGGAGAATTCAGTGTTGTAGAGGTCAGAAAACATCACACACCTAGTGAGAGACAGAGACAGGAAGTCAGCCTGGATGGTCTGACTCCACACCATGACTTTCCTCTATGCCACGACTCCTTTTAGGCAAGAGATGGGAGTGTATCTGAATGCTCACATCTCTTTCAGATGAAGCTAACAGTTCATCTGAACCAATATGACATTTAATTAAAAACAAGACACTGTCTTCTATTTGAAAATAAATATGTTTCTTACTTTTTGACTAATGAGAGCAGGAGCATCGTTTATGGAAGAGGCCCAGTTGACAAAGTCAGCAACATCAACCATGGTTCCTCGGAGAAGCTTTTCTTTCAGTTCAAATGCATATTTACTGGTTCCACCTCGTATGAATGAAATAACATCATCTATGAGTTGTTCACTGGTGATGTTTACTGAGGAGAGAAGAAAGATTTAAAGAGAAGCAGTTGTAGTTCTATGGTCAGTTATCAAAATGACACATGATAAACATTTATTGAATCCTTTTAGTAAAATACAGCCTAATGTATTTATTAAATTTCAATTGTAAATATTTTTATGCATTTTTTATCCCAAATCTAAAATGGAAATTTATTTTAGTAGCCAATTATCGATTTCTGTCAAATCTACACATCCCAAATCTATAATAAAAATTATATTAGCAGCCAATTACAGATTTTTATCTTTTAAAAAATAAAAATGATACACATGTTCTGGATACATTGATACAGTCACAGCTCCTCACAAACAAATATGTACAAATGGGAATTAAACCTGACTTTGGGTGTAATATATATTTTCTATTGCAAACTTATCTTCATAATTATATTTGTATAGATTTGCTTTGATATATTTTAACATTACAAAAAGAAGAGTTCAAAAAAGAATAATGTGAAAAGTAAAATTTATTTTCACTCCCACATCCTACCTATCTTTTCCTCAGTGTCTCTCTGTGAATTTTTAAAACTGGAAAGGAATTTCAAGATAATTTTTGTCTTCCCCTCTTCATTTTTATGGAAGAGAAACTGGAAACTTAGAGCGGTAGAATGACTAGCCAGAAATCACACTGTTAGCTTAGGGACCAAATGTAGAAATTACACCATATAATGGCAAATTCAGCTTTTTCCACCCCCTTCATCATTGGTTTCAATAATGAACACGTTATTGGTTGGTTTGCTTTTAAATATATCAGATTTTTCCCCACTTTGGCCTCCTCATTACCAGTTAACTCTTTCTTTAAAGGTGCGTTTCAAGCATTTGTATTTTTAAAATGGTCTCAGGTATTTCTGATTAGAGAAAAGGTTGAGAATTCTAGCACTAATTCATGCTTTTAAATCTTCTAAATATTAACAGTAGGAAGTAATATATGTACCAAACATATTTGTATTTTTGAAAAGGTTAGGCACCGATTTAAAGGTAAGGGTGGATTAGGGATTTCTGTTTAGGTGAAAGGTGGAGTTGGGGCAATGGTTTGGCCTCGTCCTTTGTTAAAGGATGCATGAAGCAATGTCACTTGCTTATTTGGAAGCTTTGTTAAAATTAGAGTGAAGTAAGGAAACTTTTTATGAAGATACTTTTTTAGTATTGCCATGGTAAATATACAAGTCTAAAATGACTGCTGTGTGAATCACATCCCCTAGAGTTGCACACTGTACAACCTGGACAATAGCAATACTGTGACTATATGTCCATGGGCTATCTGTGTTTATAGTGGTTTGAAAACCACTATAAACATAAGATAGTTTTTAAGCACTTTTTATTTTTGCAAACAAAGAGAATAGACAATTAAAAGGGCACATTGCACGAGGGCAGTGCCATTGACATCTACCCAAGGCTTTAAAAGAATCTAACAAGTGAAGCCACACTTACCACTTCTACCATCTCCCCTCTTTATACAATCATTTTTATTAAGTTCACCTCCAACAGAGATTCCAGAGAAACCTACAGATATATCCAGATGATACCCAAGGCATTTCTTTATATCTTTTAGTTCGACACCTGTTTAATGAATTTATTTGAAAAGTATTAGATAATGTCTATCAACATCACAAATAAACTGCTATTTTCAAGAAACATACTTACTTAGGTTCCTATGTACCATTACTGAATTCAAATGCACAGTCATGTCTGTCCTGCTTTGTCCTCACATTAGACTCCAGTGACCTCCTTTTAACTTTGTCAACTTAATGGCAAAGGACACATTAAGTCTACCACACGGTTTAAAGGGATATAGGTCAGACTATGGTGGTTATAGTAAAGTCTTTTATCTGTAATATCATAGAAGAGGGCTAAGAATGTCTAACATATGTTGAATGCTTATCACATATCCAGCATCCTTCTAAGCATTTTGTATGCTTTAACTAATTTAATCCTCACATTGGCCTTATGAAGTAAGTACTATATGGTTCTCATTTTGCAGCTGAAAATATGGAATTGCAGAGCCATTGAATAACCTGCTGATGGCTCATTACTCAACTATTAATGAGCCAAGTTTGCATTTGAACCCAGAGCTGTCTAGCTACTAAGCACTTCCTGTATTAACTTCATAATTTAGTCATGAGATACATCAACATCTCCTGATCCTCTTTGGAAGACTCAGTTTATCTTTAATGTAGCTGATTCATTGCTTTGGATAGATAACTGATGTGTATGGCCACTTTGTTTTGGTCCTATGAATGCTGTTTGGTAGATATTAGTCTTGGAAGCTGACTCACTGTGGTGTGTAGATGCCCAAACAGTTATTAGAAAGAAAAATCCTAATATTTTTTCAAAGTCTATGAGTTATTACCTGTTTCTGTGATTCATAAAAAATATTCCTCTATTTGAGGATAAACAGCCCAGATCACAGTTCACTGACCATGTCAGTTTTTGCCCTTATTTATCATTTGTTATACATGCAAACACACACACATACACACACACACACACACACACACACACACACACACACACACACACACTAATTTGTGATTATTTGTTCTGGGAGCCAAAACACTTTATGAAAAAGGAAAGAAAGAAATTAGGTTAATCACGGGGTTCTACAAGGAGTGTCAGAGGTAGGCATCTGGGGGCATTTAGGCATTTATTCATCTAACAAATATTTCTCATGCACCCACAATTAGAACTTAGGAATTATCAGGTGGCACTTCCCATGGGAAGGGAAGAGACGGGATGAAAATGGAAGACAATAACAGAAATCCAAAATGCTAGATTTCTAACCTTATCCTTAAGAAGTGTGAGGATGGCCGGGCATGGTGGCTCAAGCCTGTAATCCAAGCACTTTGAGAGACTGAGGCAGGTGGATCATGAGGCCAAGAGTTCGAAACCAGCCTGGCCCAGTGAAACCCCATTTCTACTAAAAATACAAACGTTAGCCAGGTGCAGTGGCAGGTGCCTGTAATACCAGTTACTTGGCAGACTGAGGCAGGAGAATTGCTTAAACAGGAGGCAGAGGTTGCAGTGAGCCAAGATTGTGCCAATGCACTCTAGCCTGGGTGATAGAGCAAGACTCCGTCTCAAATGAAAAAAAAGAAGCGTGAGGACTCTGCTTCTGACGATGAGGGTGAAAGATACCTAGGTGACCCTAAGGCCTCAGATTTTTTGCCTTTGCAGTGGACACTTTCATGTTCAGACATCTTAAATTGAGGTGGAGGACATGGCTTGGTCCTCAGGTATTGGCACCGGTAAAACGAAAAAGAGGACTTCCTCTTCAAAGTCACTGGAATTGACCTGATGATCCCTGTTGATCAAGGCCAGAAAGTAAGTAGATTTAAGTGGATAACTCAGAGTTATGCAGGATTAAAGATCTCAGCCTATGGAGCTTTTTCATCAAAGCAGCTATTAGTCTGAAGATTTCTTTGTGTTTTGATCACCACTCGTGAGCCTTTGTCTTCCCATTTTCAAGTTACTTAAGATACAGTCCTCTTGTGCCCCTCTCCCAATGTGATATCTCCATCAATACAGCTTCCAGATGGAGCTCACAACCACTTCACTATACTGTGGATACAGCCCTGTGAAAGTGTAAGCCAAGTAACGTTGCATTTCAATCCCCCGGGAAAGCTTCCCTCTGCCCAAAACAAGACTGAAGCATCAAGACCAGCTGGTTCTGGCTATGTCACATTTTGTTGTTACCACTGAAGTATTTACTGACCTTGGGGAGAGTATCAGGCTTTTACATCCCAGTTACATTCTACCCTTCACTTAACACCTGACACCTTGATACTCTGACCCCATAAAAGCCATTAAAGTAGTTTTTAGCAACACTTTCTTCCCTAAGAGAAACACCTATAGTTACAAGGACTGAAAGGAGGCATTCTGGTATCTATCGTTTCCTTAAGGAATATTATTACTAGCCATAATAACTCACAACATGAATAATGACAACTTATTAATATAGTCACTTTGCATTTACATTTTTATTAAAAGACTTAAATGAATTCTTTAGGCCAGGCTGATAACTATGTATCAATAAGTCTATATTCCACCTATGACAGACATTGATGATTAACCATGGCTCTTTTCCCCATGATTTCAAGTGTGATCAGAAACCTACTTAACATGAGCCCAATTCAACCACCACCACATAATGGGAAGTGTCATCGCATGAGGTAAAACTAATTTTCCACCCTTGTTTTAAGTTGTTAAATTTATATGATAACATTGCTTCTTCTTTTTCCTCTAAAGGAAAATTTATAACACTATTTTGCCTCTAATATTGAAGTACACTTTGGAGGTAATCGTGATGTGTAAATTGAACTCGTTACTGATTAAGAAATAGGTTATACAAATTATGTCTATACTTTCTTTCACTTTTAGTTTAATATTTCACTGAAAGTACCACCTTATAGTAGATGTGATCGCTCAGCAATGCTGCTGAGTAGAAGATGATCAAGTCAGTTTATTTGAGATGGAAGTCAGTTAGCTATTTCACAGGATTTTAGGTGCCAGACGGCAGGAAGACAGTCCTCTCAAAGGAGCAGGGTACAGGACTTTGTATTCTTAAGACTTTAACCATCGAAAGAGGTTGGTGAACAAAATAATATAGTCAAAACAGTATTTGAAGTCAGAGCTCTATTTCTAGGCATACCTTTCCGGTTCATAGCAGCTTTATCCAAAACATATACTAGTTCATAGAATCCTCCTAGAGATCCAGAGCTACTGTAGTGGGTTCCATAGGTTTCCAAAAAGGCAAAATATTCTCCCTTTTCATAGGTAGTTGGCAAAGCTTTTAGATCATCCACAAATGTTGTTGTGAGCACAACATCACGATTTCTCATTACAAATCTTCCCAGATGAACTTCTCCTTTCACATGCAGAAATATTTTTTCCTTTGTTGTAGAGTAGATGAGGAAAAGAAACATGTGTTTTACTCATCATTTCAAATGAAAAATTATGAAATTTAGAACTTCCATAAACACTAAATGTTCTAGCAGTGACCATGAGAAACCACTCTAATCCACCAGAATGGCTAAATGTAAAATACTATCGACACCAACTATTGATGAGAATGCACAGTGACTAAAACTCTCATACATTACCAGTAAAATTACATAGCCACTTTGAGGAACTGTTTGGCAGTTTCCCATAGTGTTAAACATGCATTTGCTTATGGCCAGTCAGCAATTCCACTCCTACATACTTACCTAATAAAATTTTTGTTCACAAAAGTATCTGCAGAAGAATTTCACTGCAGCATTAGTCAGAATAGCTTAAAATTAAAAACATCTCAAATGTCCATCAAGAGAGGAATCAGTAAACAACCGTGGTATATTAATGCAATGGATAACTAATCAGCAATGAAAGAGAAAATAAAACCACTGATACATACAACAACACAAATAAATCTCAAAAATATCATAGTGAGAAAAAGAAGTCAGACAGAGAAGAGTATATCCTGTATGATTCTGTTTATGTGAAGTTCTAGACTAGGCAAAACTAAGCTGTGGTCAGATGAATCTGGTGAGTTGCCACCTCTTAAGTGGCAGGGAATTGAAAAGGGCATAAGGAATTTTTCTTGGGATAAGAAGCCCAAGCCTCTTTTCATGATGGAATCTTGGTGTGATCTTCTTTAATTCAATGTATTTTAAACATAATAATTCCCATCTAAATATGATATTAGATGGGAATTATTCTATCTTAAAACATTTTAAAAAATTCTCTTGCTAACAAAGGTGGCTACTTAAATGTACATAATTATCAAAACTCGTGAAACTATACACTTAGAATCTTTGCATTTTATTGTATAAAATTATACCTAAGTTGTTTTAAAAATAACAATGGGAGGAAATGGAAACATTACCTATAAAGCCCAATCTTCCTATTATGCAGATGAAAAAACTAATTTAAAGATATCAAGTTATTTGCCCCAAATTTTGCAAATAATACTTGACAGCATTGGTACTAAAAATCTAGGTCTCAGGTCTCCCTGTCCCTTCCACTCCAACCTCTCAATTTTTAATAACAGAGACAAGACAGACAATATTTTGAGATGTGGAACTCAAGTCAACCTAAGCAACTCAACAGTTAAATGTTTCCAGGGCCAGGGCTGATGGCTTAACTTTCCCGGAGAAAACTAGGGCAGTGAACTATGTAATTCAATGCCATAGCATGTTCTGACCAAAAATAAACTACAATTGACATCCACAGTTTTGCAAATGGATCTTTTGAGGGTCTCCTGTTATAGCTGTGGTTAACATACAATGATCGTGTGGGAGTTTAAACTATTTTATTTCTTTTTAAATATGAACATCACACCAAACAGTCTGTGTTCTTAAAGCATATTGTTGTCATTGCACGATTTAACTTTAGGTATTGGGTGACCTAGTCTTTAATAAAAATCTAATAGTAACTTAGTCTGTATGTTATAGGTCATATGAGCTCTTCATCTCCTGACTTGCACAATAATTCTCAAATATGCTTTATCCAAAGCATATTTTTATTCTTTTTCAGTTTTGCTAAAGCTGGGAGGTATATATTGGGGTTTGGAGTGAGAAAGACATGTGTTATTCTTCAGGTCAATTTACTTCAAAGGTAGCTCTTAGCTCATTGCCATCCAAATATGCAGTTGTTTTTTCTATCTTAAAACAATAAAAAAATTTCTTTTGGCTTTGCTTGCCTGACCAGCCACTACCCATTTCTTTGCCCTCACTAGAAGCAAAATTTATTCAGTTTTCTATACTGTATATTTTCAATTCTTCTCTTCTTAGTTTTTCTTAAATCTAAATCATTCCTGCTCCTGACCTCACTATTCCAGCAAAATGTCTCTTGTCAAAGTCTCCAATGACTCATAATCCCAAAGCTATGATCACTTCTTAGTCCTCATCTTCTCTAATATGTTTACATAATTGACACAGTTCATCATTCTATTCTTTTTAATAGAGATTATTTTCTTCTCTCCTAGTCCAGTGCTTCTCAAACTATAAAATGTGAACAAATCATCTAGAGAATCTTGTTAAAATGCCATACTGATTCAGTTAAAATGCAATTCTGAGCATAGTTTGAGATTCTAGCTTCTTGGCAATGTTGATGCTGCTTTTCCATAGATCACACTCTGAGTAGCAAAGTTCTTGGGTACTTCTTGGTTTCTTTTACTTGTTTTCTACTGAAGCTCCCCAAGTTTGGTATTTGATTGTATTCTATTTTCTATGTACACTAACTCTGTTAGTAACCCCATGACTCGGTCAACAAGTCAATTCATAGTTCAATGCCAGATCTTTTCCCAAACTCCAGGCTCATAACAGCAACTTCCCACTTGTCATTGCCAATCGAATGTCTAATAAACACCTCAAACTTAACCTAAATAAATTTAACTACTGGTCTCCCTCTCCAAATCTACTCTGTCTGAATCTTTCTCCGTCAGCAACTCCATTTGTCTAGTTGCTCAGGCCAAAAACCTTGGACTTATGTTTGGCCTTATAACTGTCCTGTCTGAACTACTATCATGTCTCACCTAGATTCCTTCAATAACTTTTAACAAGACTCCTTTCTTTGGCTCTTAGTACCCATGATCTCTTCTTGACAGAATACCTTGAGTAATTATTAAGAATATAATAGGGAATGTCAATCTTCTATTAAAAACCCTCAAGTGGTCTCCAATGTCACTCAGAAAAAAAGCCACACTGCATGGACTTTGAAGTTCTTCACGATCTGATTCAAGGTAACTTTTCTAATTTTTTGTCCTTCTGATTCAATTTGACTAACTTACAACACCAGGTTTTTCTTATATTGGAGACTTCTCTAACAGTTCCTTCCATCAGATAAATAATCTCAAATCTTACTCTTTGGCTGTCTCCTCTTGGCCAAAGATGTGGTCAGATCTCATCTCCATGAAGCTGACCCTGAGCTTCCTTTTTAATCATGCCACCTTCCAGGCATCCCTGCTTTCCTTCATGTTACTCTAATTTTTCTTCTATCCCACAGCACTTAACACTTTCTAAATACCATATTGCTTCTTTTTTTGCTGTTACATATATTACCTTTGGCTGTCTTTTTCTGTGGAGCTTTCAACTCCATGAGGACAAAAATTTTCATCAGCTTGGTTCACAAATGTATTTTAAGTAATTAGGACAGTGCCTTGTCAAATAGCCCACAATTAAACATTAGTTGAATGACTTTAAGAGTTTTCCACCTGTACACTTGAGTGGGTATGCATGTAAACAGAGAGGTAATATACAGACCCATAGAAAACAATTACACAGTTAGGCATAATATAAGTGCTGAGTGAATTATTGTTGTTAATGTGGGAGAAGGTTGTCTAAATAGGTGACTGTGGTATCAGAAAAGGAAGAATGAGCATTTTACTGGCATCATGCTGATTACAGAGAGAATATTTTATATTTTTCCAAGAGTGGTAGAACAAACTTCAAAATCTGGCTCAAATATTTTAAAAAGCACATTTTCAAGGTCTCAAATTAAAGGTATGCTTACAAAGTAATCAGACCAATTTTATGTGCAATGTGTATTCGCAGTTATGGATTTCATAGCATAATTTCTTTAGAGACACACTTTAGAGTTAATAAATTGTGATCATTCTAGGTAAGGCATTGCAATGAATTACCAGAATTCCTCAGTACAATTCTTCATTATGATTCTGATGATCCTATAAATTGAATGGTATATTACCACAATCTCAGTCAAAAAGAGTGCTCTAAATTCTTAAACATTTTCTGCTCATCACCAAACATCTGATTCATTTACCACTGCCAAAGATTCTATCAGATTTTTCTCCAGTTAGTATTCTTTCTGAAATGCTAGCTACATATTTGAGAATTTGATGCACGTTTCTTTTCTTTTTTATGATTTCTATTTTCTCTAAATAAGCAATCGGGTTAGTCTGGAATCTTTCTATTTTATTCCTATATAAATGTTTGGTCTTACCTTCTTTGAAGAATACGACAAAAATAGTTGGTAAGTTTCATTTTTGGAATATGAAAACCGAAAACCACCCTGGCCTTGTAAAGAATCTTGGCGGCATGTTCCCTCACAAGGTGCTTTCATTTGAACTTTTGTTACTTCAGTGGGTGTAAATTTTAGAGTTATCTTTGCATCAAAATTTGTTATCTTATCTTGGATAACACTTTTAAATGCTTCAATTTGTTCCTCATAATGTTCGGTTCTGAAATTTTTCTCGCCTTTGGTCTAAAAGAGAATAAAAAGTATTGTTAAAAATGAGATATGAAACAAAAGGAAAAACAAGCAGAACAGAACCAAACAGAAATCAAGCAATTCTTTGAAAGGCTGTAAAACAAAGGAGTTGAGCAGAAGTGCTGGAGTCAGATTGCTGGGGTTCAAATACAGACTCTGTGACTTTGAAGTGATTATGCAATAATCTCTGTGTGCTTAGTGTTATTCTTAGTCTATAAAACAGGATTATTCTTCATACCTAGCACAAAGGTTCTTATAAAAATTTAGTGAGATAATGCATATGAAGAGTTTATAATATAGCAAACTTCATTTTCAACTTATTTTAAGTTCTGGGGTATATGTGAAGGATGTGCATGTTTGTTACATAGGTAAACATGTGCTATGGTGGTTTTTGGTACAGATCAATCCATCACCTAGGTATTAAGTGCAGCATCCATTAGCTATTCTTCCTGATGCTCTCCCACCTCCTTCCAACAGACGTCAGTGAGTGTCTTTCTCCCCATGTATCCATGTGTTATCATAATTCAGCTCCCACTGATAAGTGAGAACATGAGGTGTTTGGTTTTTTGTTCCTGTGTTAGTTTGCTAATAATAATGGCTTCCAGCTCCATCCAAGTCCCTACAAAGGACGGGATCTTGCTCCTTTTTATGGCTGCATAGTATTCCATGGTGTATATGTACCACATTTTTCTTTATCTACTCTATCATTGATGGGCATTTGGGTTGATTCCAAATCTTTGCTATTGTGGATAGTGCTACAATGAACAAATGCATGCATATATCTTTATAATAGAATCATCTATATTCTTTCAGATATATACCCAGTAATGAGATTGCTGGATCAAATGGTATATCCTCTTCTAGATCTTTGAATAATTGGCACACCATCTTCTACAATAGTTGAACTAACTTACACTCCTGCCAAGAGTGTAAAAGCATTCCCTTTTCTCTGTAACCTTGCCAGCATCTGTTGTTGTTGACTTTGTAATAATTGTCATTCTGACTGGTTTGAGATGGTATCTCATTGTGGTTTTGATTTGCATTTCTCTAATGATGAGTGATGTTGACCTTTTTTCATATGCTTTTTGGGCACATGGATGTCTTCTTTTGAGAAGTGTCTGCTCATGTCCTTTGCCAACTTTTTAATGGGGTTGTTTTTTCCCTGTAAATTTGTTTAAGTTTCTTATAGACTCTGGATATTAGATCTTTGTCAGATGGATAGATTGCAAAAACTTTCTCCTGTTTTACAGGTTGTCTGTTTCTTTTGCTGTGCAGAAGATCTTTAGTTTAATTGGATCCCATTTGTCAATTTTTGTTGTTGTTGAAATGGCTTTTGACATTTTCATCATGAAACTTTTGCCCATGCCTATGTCCTGAATGTTATTCCTTGATTTTCTTCTAGGAACTTCATAGTTTTTGGTTTTACATTTAGGTCTTTAGTCCATCTTGAGTTAATTTTTGTATAAAGTGTAAGGAAGGAGTCCAGTTTCAATTTTCTGCGTATGGCTAGCCAGTTCTCCCAGCACTATTTTTTAAATAGGGAATCCTTTTCCCACTGCATGTTTTCATCAGATTTGTTGAAGATCAGATGGTTGTAGGTGTGTGGTCTTATTTCTGAGGTCTCTATTGTGTTCCATTGGTCTATGTGTCTGTTTATGCACCAGTACCATGCTGTTTTGATTACTGTAGCCTGGTAGTATAGGTTGAAGTCAGGAAGTGTGATGCCTCCAGCTTTGTTCTTTTTGCTTAGGATTGTCTTGGCTATACAGGTTCTTTTTTGTTTTCATGTGAATTTTAAAATAGATTTTTTTTTTCTAATTCTATGAAGAATGTCAATGGTAGTTTAATAGGAATAGCATTGAATCTATAAATTACTTTGGGCAGTATGGCCATTTTCACAATATTGATTCTTCCTATTTGTGAACATGAAATGTTTTTCCATTTGCTTGTGTTATCTGATTTCCTTGAGCAGTAGTTCTTGGAGAGGACCTGAACTTGCTTTGTTCACTATATTCCTAGGTATTTTATAGTTTTTGTAGCAATTGTGTATGAGAGTTAATTTATGATTTGGCTCTCTGCTTGCCTGTTGGTGTATAGAAATGCCAGCGATTTTTGCACGCAAATTTTGCATCCTGAAACTTTGTGGAAGTAGCTTATCGGATTAAGAAGGTTTGGGGCTGAGACAACGGGATTTTTTAAAAATAGGATCATGTCATCTGCAAACAAAGAAAATTTCACTTTCTCTCTTCATATTTAAATACTCTTTATTTCTTTCTCCTGCCTGATTGCACTGGCCAGAATTTCCAATAATATGTTGAATAGGAATGGTGAGAGAGTGTAACCTTGTCTTGTGCTGATTTTCAAGAAGAATGCTTCCAGATTTTGCCCATTCAGTGTGATATTGGCTGTGGGTTTTCATACATGGCTCTTACTATTTTGAGTTATGTTCCTTCAACACTAAACTTTCAATTAAGACTTTTTTTTTTTTTTTTGCCAACTTGGCTGTTGTCAGGTTGTTATCAGTGAGAGAATAGTTATATCAGTGGTTCAATTCTCTTTTCAGAGATCTTCTTAAACCTAAAGTTATTACTGTCTCATGAAAAGATTGAGATGTATATAGATATCTTTAAAATAAGACATGTTGAAGAAAATGCCTAACATAACAGGGAAGAGCAACCTAACCACTGCCACTTCCCTACTTAGATCCTTCCAATGTCTTTCTAATGACTTTAATATAGGTGAAATCAGATTTATTCCTAGTCAGTCTCTCCCTGACTGTGTGTTAGCCATCTAGCTGTTCCACAACCCATGCTGTTCTTACCATAGGTATGAACTTTTATGCTGATTTTACTTTCTGGGATGTTTTCTTACTCTTTTCCCCCAATCCTCCCATAACATACACATCACACACACACTCTGTCACACATACACACAAAACATAGGCCTCAGGTTGATTAATTCCCACTCCTATTTCAAGTCTTACCTGAAACATCACTTTTTTAGGAAAGCCTTTTCTGATAAAACAGACTAACAAATCTTTTTGCTACAAGTTTTTATGGCTCTGCTTTTAAAACAAAATAAAACGAAAACCACTTTTTTATATATAATTACCTTTTAAATGAAACTTAAGCCTTTGACTCTAGCTATACCCCATGACCCTATAGATATAGGGTCCAGAGCTAACCAATGCTAGGCGAGCCTCTGTGGCCTCAGGCTCCAGGCCAGCCTCATGGACTTAGGTTCCAGCCTCAACCCAGGCTTCAGACAGGCCCAGAATGAGGCTGGTCCCTGTAGCCCCAGACTCCAGGATTTTACTTGCAGACTAAGCCTCCAGCTACACTCTAATGCCAGATCAGTACCCATATGCCTCAGCTCCAGGACAGCCTCCCTGACCTTAGGCACTAGGTCAGCACTTGGGATTATGGGGTGATTGATCTCAAAGGCTGATCTCTACAGATACAAGCTCCAGTTTCACCCAGTTGCAGAATGGCCACTGCAAATCCAAAAATCAGGCCCAAGACCAGCAATTTAACCTCTAGGCCCATCCCAGTGCAAAGTCAGCCTGATTGGCCCCAGGCTCTAGGCCAGCCTTCATGAATTCAGGGTCCAGTGAACCCACGGTCCAGGCCCACTCCTGTAGACTCTAGGGCTAGGCTGACCTCTATGGATACAGACACCAGGCTTGTTTCAGCACACCCAAGCTCCAGGCCTTCCCCAGTGAACCAAAGAACCAATCACATCTGTCGAAGGACTCCATCATCAAGCCTGCTTGTGGACCGTGCCAGACAACTTGCTCAGAATCTCTGAACAAACTGACAAATGAAGGGTTATCCCTGCTGAAGTCAGTCTTTAAGGAATGGAATAAGTGCTTACTTTTTCAAAGGCATAGATATGTATGGCCACAAGGATCACAAATAATCAAGGAAACATGACACAACCAAAGGAACAAAATAAAGCACCAGTAACTGACCCTAAAGAAGTGGAAATTTACAAACTGCCTGAGAAAGAATTCAAAATAATTATCTTAAGCTTAGTGAACTGCATGAGAATACAGACAGAAGACCGGATGAAATCAGGAAAAGAAATACATGAACAAAATTAGAAGTTCAATAAAGAGACAGAAAGTACACACACATAAAAACAAACAAACAAAAATTACAGAGTTAAAGAAAACAATAGTTGAGCTGAAAAATTTCATAGTGAGCTATTGATAGCAGATTCCATGACACAGAAGAAAGAATCATGAGCTCAAAGAAAGTTCATTTGAAATTACCAATCAGAAAAACAAAAAGTAAAAAAGTATAAAAAATAGTGAAGAAGTTCTGTGGGAGCTATGGGGCACCATCAAGTGAACCAGTATATGAATTATGGTGCCCCAGAAGGAAGAGAGAAATGCAAAAGTGCAGGAAGCTTATTTAAAGAAATAATGAGAGAAAATTTCTCCAAAGTGGAGAAAAAAAGGAGCATCCAAGTCCACAAAGCCCAAAGATACTCAAATAGACTAAATATAAAGATATTTTCCTGAGACACATTATAATCAAACCAGAAAGTCATATGACAAAGAGAATTTTGAAAATAAGAGAAGAGCAATTCATTACATACAAGGGAGCTCACATAAGATTACTAGCATATTTTTCAGAAAAAGTCTTGAATCCAGGAAAGAGTGAGATGATATATTCAGAGTAATGGAAGAAAAATAAACTGCCAATTAAGAATAGTATACTTGGCAATTCTGACCTTCATAAATGATGAAGAAATAACAAATTTCCCAGAGAAACAAAAGCTGTGGAAGTTCATTACTTCTAGACCTTCCTATAATAAATGCTAAAGGGCTGAAAGAAAAGAATAATAATTCATAATACAAAAAAATTATGAAATTATAAAATTCACTGGTAAAATTTAAGTACATAGTCCAACTCAGAATACTCTGAAACTATAATGGTGACATACAAATCAGGCATATCTGTAGCATGAAGATTAAAAGATAACACTAT